TTATTTACATATTCTGGATGTTAATCCCTTACCATAAATATGATTTGTAAATAGTTTCTCACAGTCTGTGGGTTGCCTTTTCATTCTCTTGATAGTGTCCTTTGAAGCACAAAAGTTTTTAATTTGGATGATGTTCAATTATTTTTTCTTTTGTTGCCTCTGCTTTTGGTCCCCCAACTTTTGAGTTCATATCTCAATCCTTATTTTAATTTTTAACCTTAGGGATTAATCTAAGCTTTGGGGCTTTAAAATATTTATGGTTTGGGAGACTTAAGAAAAAATACAGAAAACATTCTTTTTAAAAATTGTTATTTAATTTATACCCATTTATCACTCGCTATGACTCCTCTTGGAAGGAGTCAAACAAGCTTCATCATTAACTTCATCTCATCAATTTTACATAATTAGCTTTCGTAGACATCAACATAACTTTCTTCTACCTGCCCCCACAATATCAAATAATACAGAAAGCATATATAAGTCATCATTAGAATATTAGTGTATATAAATACTAGTGTAGCACATTTCTAGTCAAAGAATATCAGAACAGAGATTCTCTTTAAATTTAGTAAACCAAAAAGAACCAGGGTTTAAAATATCTAGGTAACAATTCTAGCACTATTATGAATTGATTTTCAAAGTCTCAGTAATTCAACCTTTCTGATCTTCAATATCCACAAAAGAAGAGGTTTAGTTGCATTTACTTGCTTAAAGCCCTTCAGTGGCTCATAATAGCCTTCTGAATATGTAAAGTCCAAATTCCCTTGTCAAGGCATGTAAGTGCTCTCCCCTCCATGAGTAGGTTTTTTAATTTTTTTTGACTTTTTATTTTTTAAGTTTCTTTCTTTCTTCCAGAAGAGAGAGAGAGAAAGCACCCCCTAATAGATTACCTATGCCTGTCTTGAGACCTGCTCTATATCATATTCTGACATTCCACTTAAAACTGTGCTCTAACCATATTGTACCACTTATAATTCCCTAAATAGATCATGCTCTCTTTGAACTTGAGGGCTTTGCCCTGGTTAACCTCAGAACTTATATTTTACCTTCCTACTCTATCTCGAAGACACATCCTTCTGGAGTTCAAGTGTTACCACCATTGAGGTTGTGTGAAGCCTTCCCTGACAGCCAAGGCTGATACCTCTCTTGGAGTTCTCTAACACTTACTACACTGTGTTGCACTTTACTCTTTTCTTGTCTGTTTTCTCCACTAGACTGCTAACTTCCTCAGTCAGAGATTGATTCATAGTAATCACTCAAATATGTCTGCAGAAATAATCTTATGAATGAAATAGGTTCTAAATAAAGATCTTTTGCTTAACTAACTTTTGCCCTTTTCTCTCCTATGGTATGTATACCTACTTTCTAGTCCACTGTGTTGCTTAATAATTTAATAGCTGGATACCTGTAACTAAGTGACTTATACAAATAGAGATTTACTCAGCTCATAGTTTGGAAATCCAACGTCTGGGAGCCACATGTGGTGAGAATCTTCTCACTGGTGGATAACATGGTGGAAGACATCACACAGCCAGAGCATGAGCACAGTATGACACTCTCCTTACCTTTCCTAATAACCTACCAAGAATCAATGATGTGGGCTCCACCCTAATCACCTCCCAAGGGTCCATCTCTTAATCCCATATTCAGAGTAAGTTTCCTCTTACTAGCTTCATAATACAGCCAAATTCCAACATGTGAATTTTTGAGAAACATTCAAGTCATAGCAACCTCCTTTACTGAAATTTTTTAAAGTGAGATTCTGGGTGATGAGGATATTGGTATATTATTCTTTATGCTTCTATATATTATTTATAATTAAACAGAATTCTATATCAAATTATCTGTTTTACCCATGGTAAAGCAAACATATTAAAGACATGGAATGACACTGGGTGTCTTCTGAGCACCTTATTTAGGAAAAGGCTCCTGTCGTGGTATTACAACAATGGAAGAAACTCATGTGATGGTGTTCAGAGTGAGTTACAGGTGGGCTTGTGTCATAACCCCTAACTTCCAAGTTAAAGTTAAAAGGAGCTGATAACATTTTCCTTTCTTTTTTTTTTTTTTTTTTTTTTTTTTTTTTTTTTTTTTTGAGAGGTTTTCGCTATAGGGCGCGTGCGCTCGCCAGACAGAGAGAGAGACATAGAGACACAAAGTGAGAAATCATCCCCCAGGGGGGATGGTCACGCCACAATCCCTTCTCCTCCATTCTCCTCTCGGGATCTTGGGCATGCACGCACACGCGCCCGGTGTGGTTTTAAGCCACCGGGTCCGGGACACGAACCGCGGTCGACTACATGGGAGTTCAGCGACATAGCCATTTCGCTAACTGCTGGTTCCCCATTTCCCTTTCAGTTGAAGCAACTTAGGTCAACAGGTCAGTGAGTCAGCTGTGGCTACACACTGGTTCTCCTTATTTTCAGTCTTACAGGAATAAGAACAGAAACACCTTCTTCGCCGTAGCAAAATTTGGTCATACACACTTGGTAAAGTATAAGAGACTTCTAAACATCCATTTCTGTTTAGAATATAAAGAATGTGAGTTCTAAAATTATGATGTCTTAAAGGGTAGAATTTGATTAAACAACATTAGTTCCTTATTCTCAATCATTAGGGCTTAAGAAGGGAGAAAAATGTGCATATTTGTTTGTGACCCTCTGCTCATTCAAAATCTTGACCGAGACAACATTTTTTCCTTCTTTTCCTGGGAGGTCTACTAGAGAGGAACTAACATCTTGGAAAAGATGTGCCTATTCCAAGTTTCCTGCCTGGAATTCCAAGTATTTCAGGATGGTCATCTTTAGATTTTGTCACATTTGGACACTATGTTCATTTGGACCTAAATTCATCAATATTCTCAAATTTATATAATGGGTATTTGCATGCTAAAACGAAGTCTCTTTTATTTGTATTTTTTTAGTTTTGTTACAGGGTGCATGTGCTTGTTAAAGAGAGAGAAAGTAAGAAATCACCCCTGGCGGAGGGAGTGACTACTCCACAATCCCTTCTTCTTGATGTAGGATCCACTGCCTTAACCACCACGCCACAGACTGGTCGCAAATGAAGTCACATTTTAAAGTGGGGTAATTCAATTCTGCAAAACTGTATGGTGAAAAAAATATATATATATATATATATATACCATACAAAGTTTATATAAAGTTTGCTTTTGGGCACACACTTGCTTGAGAGAGATAGAGAGAGAGAAAATGAGAAATCAGCCGTCCCTCCCCAGCGGGGGACATGGCCACACCACAATCCCTTCTCCTCCTGGGACTTCACACAGGCACACTCGGGTTTGATTTTAATAAAAAATTTTTTGCTTAGCTAAGTTTTCCCCTTAGAAACCACCACTGGGTTTATGGGATTTGCACCCCTTTGACCTTTAGGGATAAATCACATTTAATACTTATTTAGAACCTATTTCACTCATGAGATTATTTATGATTTTCAAGTAGCTGGGTCCAGGACTGACAACTTCCACACCACCTGTTAGCCCAAATTCTGCAATTTTTTTTTTTTGAGAGGTTTTTGCTATAGGGCGCATGCACTCGCCAGAAAAATAGACAGTGAGAAATCAACCCCCCCAGAAAGGATGGCCACGCTGCAATCTCCTCCTCCATTCTCCTCTGGGATCTTGGGCACGCACGCACAGATGCCTGGTGTGAGTTTAACTCACCAGGTCTGGGACTTGAACTGTGGACTACTACGTGGGAGTCCAGCGACATAGCCATTAGGCCATCTGCTGGTCCTCAATTCTGCATTTTTCAAAGTTTGCGTTAACATTGCCCTAAAATGACTCATCCCCTTCAATACAGGATACAAAGTGGTTTTGTTTGTTTGTTTTATTGGAAAAGAGTCATTTGACCTGCAGAAATGGAGACGTTAAGAAAAAATTAGTAGGGAATAATAACACATATAGGAAGGTGAAAATGTTTTAAGTATTGACAAATTTTGACCCAGCTCCAAATCCTTAAGGATCCTTGTCAGATCCCTTCTTTGCCCGTCCCCGCCCCGTCCCCACCCACACCCATCCCTTTATTTTCAGTCCAATCCTATTCTTATCCATTTCCAGCAAACTAGATTTCATATACAATCATCTCGGGCTCCAATGGACTGGGGGAAAGTAGAGATGTAGTACTATCCAACTGACTGAGGAGGAGTGCTCCCTCTATATGGTTCACTTGGTAGCACACAGTAGGTCGGCCTCAGGCATTGTAACACTCTTCCTGGAAGGACAGGTGAGGGCAGGGATTACTGGATTCCCTGCTATTTCACTACCCGTCTCAGTTTTGAGGTCAGGGTAGGAAGGCAACAGGGATGACAGCTTGCCTCTCTTCTTGGCAAAGAGCCACTTCTTGGCGCCTTGCGCGCACTAGGACGCGAGTAGAAAGGCTCGGTAAACCGCCCGCGTCCAGCTACCCCACGGTGACCATGGCTCCGTCTTCTCTGGTCGAATTTTTACATAAGGCCACGGCACGCTGGACACGCTGGGCTCGCTCCGAGTGGGTTTTGAAGTCCCTGCTGCAGCGGGAAGCACCCGGACGCGCGGTCCCAGCGCGCCCTTCCCTCGACGCCTGCACCTGCTCCGA